TATTGATTTTTAGAGATACAGGAAGGGGAAAGAGAGAGAGAGAGAGAGAGGAACATGATACATCGATGTAAGAAACATTGATTGGCTGCCTTCTGCACGCACTCCAACCTGGGATCAAACCCACAACCTGGGTATGTGCCCTGACCAGGAATCAAACCGTGACTTTTTGGTGTACAGGAGGACGTTCCAACCAACTGACCCACACCAGCCAGAGTGCGGCAATGCTTTTTAAAATGCAAGCTAAGCTCTGGGATTCCTTGGAGGCCAGAGCTGGGGGATTTGGAGAGTAGGCTCAGTTGGGCAGCCTTAAACAGGGCACTCTGAGTGGTACCCAAAAGAGACCCCCTTGTTCTAAAGCTGCATGGCTGTTGAATTCTGCTTCCTAACTGCAGAGATTATCTGCTCCAAAATATGCCACGCTTAGAAGATTTTGCACTGGCTGTTCTCTCTGCCAGAACACTCTTCCCCTAGAGCAGTGGTCGGCAAACTGCGCCCCTTGAGTGTGGCTCTTCCACAAAATACCACGTGCGGGCGCACACGTACAGTGCGATTAAAACTTCGTGGCCACACTCAAGGGGCCAAACAGCCGCATGTGGCTCGCGAGCCACAGTTTGCCGACCACTGCCCTAGAGAGCCACAGGGCTCACTCTCTCACCCTCTTCAAGTCTTTGCTCAAATGTCTCCTTCCCAAGGAGGCTCATCCTGTCTACCCTATTTTACAGTGTCACCAGCCCATCGGTCCTATTCTGGAATGCCTGTTCTCCCTTATACTGGTCTATACTCCTCTTTTTCTATCATGTAATTTACTTGTTAATTATGTTCATGATCTATTGCTTTTCTCCCCACCCCCATTAAAAAAGAAACTCCATGAGAACAGGGACTTTATCTATTTTGTCACTGAGGTATTCCAAAAATGCCTAACATTTTAAAACAGAAAACACCCGTAATGAAGAGCTGCTGAGTTGAAGTCCAATGTGGCACTTGGTCTGGCCAAGCTACCCACCTCTGCTCATCCTTGTGCCCCCGGGCAGCTTGGGAGGCACAGGCTGATGCGTTGGAAATAGGCTCCTCTGATGCCTTCTGTGAGGGGGCCAATCCATGGCTCACAGTGTTGCCATGGGGAGGTCGTGTTTAGCCAGCTAAAAGCAAAGTATTGGCACTCCTACAGCAATGGGTCACAACCCTGCACTGCTAGGTATGAGTGGTATGATGGTAGTTGAGTCAGCTGGTCTCTCAGAGCCTTGGTTTGAACAACTCAAAAAGGAGGGTGATGCTTTTCTCATTGGAGCAGGTAAAATATCTGTGGGGATGAATCCCCAGCACCTGGCACAGAGCCTGGCACGTATAGCTATGCAATACATCAGTTGGTTGATTATGAGGAACATGTAAGATAATGCTTATAAACTTACATACACATAAAGCACTTGACATAGAATCTGGCATGTGGGAATCATACATTCATTCACACAATAAATATTTATCAAATCCTACTATGTGCTTGGCAAAGTGCAATAACTATGGGGATTATTGTACGAGCTGCTCATGTCCAGTCACGGGGAATGCCATGGGCAGTGTAGAGACCCGCATGAGATGAAACAAGCTCACAAGGCAGTCTGAAGAGGGTGGCACCTCTCGTGGCTCAGTCTGCCTCTGCATCCTTGCAGAACATCAGACGGGTGAATACCCACATCCATGGCTTTCTCTCCAGTTAGCCTGGGTGCCTAAAGCAGCTCAGCTCACTCAAGCCAGTCACACAGGTGATGATAACTGAGGTTTGGGACTCCCCCGCCTCCCAGAGATGCCCTCTCTTATTGATGTCTATGTGGGCTGGATACACAAACCAAGTAAATTTAATAATAAGCTTGTTCAGTGCAGGCCGGAAGCTGAGGTCTAGAATTCCTGACTTGCCTGCACACTGCTCCCCAAGTGTCTGGATTTGAGGGTTGGGAGGACACCTGTATGCTCTTTCTCCCACAGTTCCACAGTATGTTCTCCTTACTGTGCTCAATGAGTGATGACTCCCAGGCATGTAAAAAGCAGCGATAATGAGGTCAAAACCAAGCTGTCTCTGAGGGTTGGTAGTGATAAAATCAAGTATTACTAACAGTAGTAATAGCAAGAACACCTCACATATAAGTAGCACCTATTAGGTGCTAGTCATACACAAAGCACTTCTATAGTCATTACATCTCACAACGATCCATTGCCTTAGATTATTAGCCCAGTTTACAGATAAGAAAACTGAATTTCAGGAGGTTTAGTATCTTGCCATGATGGCTCAGGTAACAAGAGCTAGAAGCAAGATTCACTCCAGATAGCACCCACAAGATCCAGTTATGGTTGTGTGGCAAAGGGTCTCTTCAAGCATCACAGTGTGCCCAGCTGTAAAGCCTGAGCAAGGCACCTGGCCTCTCTGGACCTCTGGTCCCTTCTCTGTAAGAGCATCAGTCCTTCAGTTGTGTTGGGAGTTCATGAGTGTATGTACGTAAAGCTCTCAGATCCATACCTGGCTCATGGCGAGAGCCAAAAGTATTAGTAATTACTGATGTGATTAAAGTGCCTAAGTCTTAGAGCTCTGGGCAGAGGCCACTCTTGGTGAATGGCCGGAGAACATTCTTCAGTGGCATAGAGTAAACACTCAATAAAAAGAGGGTGCTTCATATGCAAATGGATCATTATTCTTAGAATCATTACCATTTACAAGAATACATACACTGATGTGCTCTTCCTTGCTCTGTGGCAGGGAGGGTGTGAGAGGGTTTCAAACCTACATCACCGAGGAGCCATCCTCCTCCTTTGCTGCCTCTTTTCCCAAAATAGCCTTTCAGACCTGCCTCAGCCCAGGCAGGAGCCTAATTCTGCATGGCTGGGGTTTCCCAAATGTGCCCCACAACACCCCAAACCAAGCCTGCTGTGAAGAATGAAGGCTTTGTGTGGTTTCCCAGGAGCACACTGAAGGCCTACACTCAACCCTTCCTGGAACCCTGCACTCAGAATCATGCATTTCCATGATACTGAGCAAGAAAAAAAGGATCCTTAAAAAAATCCTTATTGGGAAAAGCATGGGGATATATGAGGGGCAAAGTATCAAAGAGACAGAAAGAAAAACCTCGTCCACTAGGCCTGACAGGAGGCCTCTGGCAGCCTTGGCTCTGCAGTGATGCAGGACCATTTCAGAGGAGCTGGCCCTGTAGGGCGCTCACCAAGTCTGGAACCCTGGGCAAATGTGTAATAAGTGAAATTACATTACAAATTAACACATAATGCTATCATTTATGGTTCCAGACTTTATGGCTACCAAGTACTGGAAATCACCAGAAGAGGTGAAGGTCAAGATAGGATGTAGCTCTCACGCACCCCCACCCTCCATGGCGGGGGCAAGTGTCTCCTTAGCCACTGACTGACCTGAGACCTTTGGATCATGTGTGCATCGTAGCTGGACCCGTGGTACTTGGCCGTAATATCTGGGCTGTAGCAAGCATCACAAGTGCATGGTATATTCGAGCTCAGGGGCTGTTTCCTAGGTCTATAAACCTGTGGGAGAAAGCTACAATGGTTAGGTGCAGGAGGGGAGGGTGCAGGGCGCACAGGGAAGGAACTAGGAGAAATTAAAGAAGGAGGCTCATCTTGACTTTCTGTGGCCAAGTGGGTGAAAACCCCAGTGTAGAAGATGCACAGCCCCAAACAAGAGGTCAGATGGAAGCGGCCCCCGAGCCCCAGGGCCAGCACTAGCAAGGCATGCCGCTCTGTGGAATGACCCCCATGACTGGCAGTGCCTGGGACCCTCCCTCTGCAGGAGAAGGTGCCCAGGCATGGCGGTGGTCCCTCTCTTTCAGCAAGGCAGCCCCGTGAGAAATGGCCTCTGGTTCAGGGCCAAAGGATGCCTTTTCCTTCCTGAGGAGGAAGGCTTGGCCCAATTGTAAGGAGAAGGGACGTATGCCTTTGGGCTTCCCTTCCACTCACCTTGCACCTTGTGCTCAGCCCAGATCAGCCTAGCAGGCAGCGGGCCAGTCCTGGGGGCTGAAATCAAAGTGGACACACTCCACGTGGTACCATGTGGCATTTAGAGAATTTCAGAGCCACATGGGGCCTGAGGTAAGATGTGGCAGCCACCTTGTGAGACCACGGAGCATTGAGCCATATTTTCTAGATTTCATAATGAAGCTAGGATCTGAGTGAACATTTGAACCACTGCTTCCAAAAGCTCCTGAGTTATATAGAGAGGAGAAATAATGCCTGAAGATTTCAGGGATGACTTTGCAATATGCTTCAGGTACAATTATTTCCATTGAAGCCACTTCCAGAAGACCCTCCAGAAAGCAAATCACTTTTTTTTTTTGCACAAATTAGGACTTTGTCCCTCCTTCCTTTTCCCTCAGAAGAAGTACAGTGGCCGAGTGAGGAGGAAAATCAGGATAATGAGGTAAACAGGTGATAAAAAAAATATTAGACTAAATAATGGTCCGGGAGGGCTCCAAGCATAGCCTGGCGGTGCCAGGGGCTGGGGGATGTCCCTCGGCCGAAAGGTCCAGGAGGAAACAGTTAAAGAGCCAAAGCTGGAAGTCTGGTGAGAAAGAATTCTAAAGAACTGGATGAGGGAAGTTATTTATAGGCCCAGAGAGTGAGCAAGACAGAAGATAACGGGTCCAACAGGAGAGAATGTGCCCAGAATTTAATTAGTAGTTCCTAGGATTTAGTCAGAAGTCACACAAAGTCCACTGGAAGGAAGAGAGCTGAGAGCTATTTCTGGGGAGATGATGCTAACACAAAAGAACAGAAAACAGCGCTGGTTGCAAACCACACAAGCCCAGGCACATGCAGCCCACACAGAAAAGCAGTAAGATGGTGCTCCAGTGACAACTCAGGTCATTTCGCTCCTACCTGCTTTCAGCTGCTGAGCCTGCAGGATGGACATGGGAAAATGAAGAGCTGCTAAACCCTCAGAAAGCACCCAACGGCCCAAACCCAGCAAAACACACCTGACGGGCAGGAGGCCCCACCTGCTGCTTTAGCTGGTGCACCAGCCGGTCTTTCTCCCGCTTGAGGGCCATCACTTCTTCCTGCGTCTTCTTCTTTTTGGAGGCAGACAGTTCCAGCAGGGCGATGTTCGCATCTTTCTCACTGATTGCCGCAAGCAGAGCTTCCTGTCTGGTAAAATAAAGATTATGGTGATGATTTGTACAAAGTGGGAAAAAACACCATTTGGCATTTATAACTGACATGAGCCACGGAGTACTGTCTCAATGCGAAGGAATTATGAATAATGCTTAAGACAAACTACCTCCTTGACTCTCAGAATAGACAAAGTTGTGTGGGTCAGAATCCCTGAGACCCACACACTGTGTCCTCTAAGAGAAGTGGCTTTCAATGGTTTCGCAGATATAGCTGCATATAAGAAATGGAGGGAGTCCATATGAACATTTGCTTTTAAAACACCTTCATCCATCTACCTATCTATCCATCAAGTTATTCATCCATATGCCTGTCCATCCTTCCTTCCATCCATATCTCCATTTACCTGTCCATTCATCCATCCATCCATCCATCCATCCATCCATCCATCCATCCATCCATTAACCAGGTAACGTTCTAAGACAGCCAGACAAAATTGGGCAGCAACTTCAATGTCAAGTGTAACTGTTTTTCCCTGTAAGCTTTCCTTTTGAAGCCAGGCAGAGATACTTACTAGGGTTCCCTTCCCATTTTCAATGCAATTAGTGAGGCTTGCTTGCCATTCCATCCAAAATCATTTCTTGCCCAGTATTCCGTATCTCAGTAATCACAGCACCATCCACCAAGTAGCCCAAAGCCCCAAACCTAAAGTTGTCCTTGATTCCTTTCCTTCCTTCTCTATCCAGAGCCAACTTCAGTAGGTTTCACTCCAAAATACATTCCTTATCTAAACTAATCTGTTGCTAGGAAATGTTTCCCAACTACCAGCATCTATTCACATTGCTCATTCACTAGTCTCCCTGGTACAGACAGAGGCCAAGTAACCTTTAAAAACATTCGAAGTCCGGATTCCACCACCCTGTTGAGTGAAAAATCCATTGCATCACTCATTAGACTTCAGATCCAGAGCCTTTACTGATGCCTGCAACTCGTTACACCAACTGGCCCTAACCACCTCTGTGAGGTCATCTTTTTCCATTTCTCCCTCCTCAATCATTAGGCTCCAGCACATTTTGTTCCTGAACTCTTTTCTAGTCCTTGAAAATGTTACACTTGTTCTCACCTCATAAGCTTTGTCTTGCCATTGCCTCTGGCTGGAATGGCCTCACCTTGCAGCTCCCTATCCTTCAGGTCTCAGCTCTAATGTATCCACTTCAGACAAGCCATCTCCAGCTGCTCTCCTTGGCAGTGCCTCTCTACCTGGCACCTTGTACCCAAGCCGCTGGCCGGCTACATTACCCCGGCATTTTTTGTTTAATTTCATACAACTCTTCACTATTAGAAAGGATCTTAGATATTGATGATTTTTCTCTACTTGACACTCCATGAAAGTGGAAGCTCCTTGGTCTTGGGCACTACTAGTTCTCCAGCTTCTGGCAAAGCACTGAGCACATAGCAGGTGTCTAAAATGTTTGTTCAAGCAATAGAGAAGTTCACTTTATACTTCTCACAAACGTTGACGACACCATGTACAACTCTTCTCACATAAAAATAACGACAATGAGTTGACTCCTGACTACTCTCTGGTCACTGCTTACTCAGAAAAGTGTTAAAGTTGACTCCTCAAATTTTTTTTTTAATATATTTTATTGATTTTTTTTACAGAGAGGAAGGGAGAGAGATAGAGAGTTAGAAACATCAATGAGAGAGAAACATCAATCAGCTGCCTCCTGCACACCCCCAACTGGGGATGTGCCCGCAACCAAGGCACATGCCCTTGACCGGAATCGAACCTGGGACCCTTGAGTCCGCAGGCCGACACTCTATCCACTGAGCCAAACCGGCCAGGGCGACTCCTCAAATTTTAACAGTCCAATTTTATTGCAACATCTATTGCAGATTTTAATCTGGAATTTCCTGGGACCATTATTAACTAGGAAATGGCTCGCCTGGTGTATTTTATTTAGTCTTGTCCCAGCCATTGTGTCACTTCAACCATTGTTTAGATAATTGAGAAGACCCCACAGTCCCAGGAAAGCCTCAATATTGGGTACTTTTTTTGCACACAAGTCCCAGGACTAAAACCTGTTTTGCCTTTTTTTAATCCCCACCACTAGACCAGACCCTCCCCAGATGATTGGACAATGTAGTCATTATTTAGATCTCAGGTCCTCTGTTCACTGCAGGGATTTGTATGGACTTTTCTGGGCCCTGCTAATGCCAGGCAGTAGAAGCTGCCGACTGAGGCTCAGTCAGACGTGTGAGCAGCAGAAATGTCAGGAGATATCTCCACTTTCCAGAAGAAAACCAGTGCAGGATGGACTATGAAAAGCAGCATTAATATCTAGCTTTATAGAGCTCGTCTCTTTCTGGGTAACATCCTAAGACAACAGACATGCTTGTTGTTGATGGCCAATGCATATTTACACATAAGGCCAAGCTGAAGAGTCTGCATGGACTTCAAATCTCTACACCAACTCAGCTACAACACGCCCAAGGTGACTGCAATATTTTACCACACTCTGCCCCAAATTAAAATGTCCAAGTGAAAATTTTCAATGGAAAAAACCTTAAGAATCATTAAGAAAATTGGGAGTTGACAGCAAATTATGCTATATCCTTATGACTCACTCTTTACAGCTACATGCAGCCATGTAAAATGCTGATAATAATAATATGTGAAAACATGTTTGTTGAAAGACAATTCTCCATGAGTCTCATATTTTTGCACACTCTTTATGAGCATAGGCACTATCTTCTTTTCTCACATTTTTTTCAAGGATGTTCGTATAATAAATAGCCTTGGAAGATCGAGGCAGTGTCTCTTTTAGGATCAAAGAATAGCTATGCTTACAGCCCTGTATAGTAGTGTCTCTTTCCAGAGCAAAGGGCAAGCATGTTACTGCCCATTATAAAAGATTTGGGCACCCTAAGTTCAGGGTTGCCCTCCTTTAATGAACCCACTGCAGGTGTAGCTATTCATCTGTCCCATCTGCCTTGCCTTCGTGGACCTTGGGGAAAGGAGAATTGACATAAATGTGCTGATGTTGCTGTCTGCACCTTGAGCAATGAAGTCCTTTGTCTCTGACCTAAAAGTCTCTGGTTGGCTGCCTGCATCCATGACACTGAACCAGGCTGACTTGTTAAGCATACCATAGGGAAAATCTCAGATCCTTCACAGTTCTTGACATGCAAATGTCTATAGAATAAGATCCCAAAACATAAAATTCTATTCCTAGGAAAAACAAAAACAGGAAGAAAACGCTAATAGTCATTATCTCATAGTGGTAAAATGAATAGGCTACTTTTAAATTTTTTTCTGCATGTACTTTTTTGCATTATTCTTCTCTTCCACAAAGTATCCTAAGAGTGAAGCCTAAAAAATTGTAAATGAAGCTTTTCAGTCACCAAATAAACTACAGGAACATGCTTCAAATACGTGGCAGACGTGAAATTTGCTCATTTTTAAATCAAAGTATTTATGCTCTCTCTGCCCTCTGGCTCTGTATGCACAGGTGAGTGCCTGCACACATACTCTCATACACATCTAGAACAGTCTACATCATTCTCACTAGGGCAGCTGCAATAATCTCCTAGGTAGGCTCCCTATGTCCACTTTTATATTCCTAGTCCTATGGCCCCTTTTAACCCATCTTTCTCTTTCAGGTCAAAATTCAGAATTATATAATTTTAATAACAGTTAAAAGTCATCATTAACCTAAAGAATGCACCTTCTAAACTCCTTTTCCCCTAGAATTCTCTAATTTAATATTTTCAGAATTTAACATATATTTCCCCTGTTATAATACTATCAAAAGTTCCAATACATTAATTTCTAATATCATTTTTCTTGTAAATCATATAAAAGCATATAAATTCCTAACTCTTTACAGATGTTATCACTAAATACAGTCCCAAATCTAGTTAGATTTAAATCATTTTTATAAAAGTACATTTAAAAACACTCATCAATATTAGTATAAATATAAAATAATCAATTTTGTTCTTCATAATCTTTTCCTCAGTGTCCTTTTTGTTTTGTTTTATTTTGTCTGTTTTGGCTAACAAATCTATTTATAAGTAACAAATCTATTTATAATGATAGAACTCTGTATAAAATTAGTGTAAGAAGAGTTATATCTCATTTAAATATTGACCGTTATTAATGAAAATTTACCCTAAAATACCTTGATTGAATTCTGCATTCAATAATTTTAGTCTAATTAAATCAAAGAGTAATTGCCAGAAGGTAGTAAAAGTCTATAAAACTAGACAAAGATGATCATTTCACACTTAGAAAGAATTTATGACGCTTTTAAGGCTATGCCTGACCTTAATAGGTAATGACCTATTTCTACAGGAATGCCAGGTAGAGCAAACTCTTAATTCTAGAGTTGGCAGAGTCAATACATTAATTTTTTTAAGCGATAAGCTTTATACAATGAACTTTAAATAATTCTTTATCAAGATGATACATTTTAACTAATAATTTAGACCACTGAGAGCTAATTCTGCAGTTAGGACTTTCATTACCTCTGCTTTAAAAGTCAGGGTGTTTTGGGTTTTTTTGTTTGTTTGTTTTGTTTTTTTAGGTGAGGATTTCTGAACATAAGATTCTACATCAGATTCTACACCTTTACAATTCCCATAAGCCACTTTGCTGACACATACTTAGAACACCTAATGATGAAGACTTTACTGAAAAAAACACAGAGGTCCATTTTGAGAAAATGGCAAACACTGGAAAAAATTAAGAAACTTAAATCGAATGTTCCTGCTTTTTCTTTTTCCAACAGGGAATTCTGATCCAGCCTTTCCTATATTGGGAAAATAAAAGAGGTGCAGCACCAAAAGAATACCAGGGACAGGACACTCGGATATAAATTGGAAACACAAAGACAAATCCTCATTCTTTTTCCCCAGCAGGTGAATCACCTTCCAGATCCAATCACCTTCTCCATATGTGCACATCACTTCGGAAATTGTGACTGTCCCATCCACCTGAAGAAAGTGTCCATGAGCCTAAAATCGCTTTC